CTGTGGAGATGTTTGTTCGCTCTTGTTTGGACGGGGAGAATTTCTGCTGGTAGATGTGGAACTGAGCAGGAAGGAACAGGGCATCAGCAGATTGACGGCACTGCGTGTGTTGTGTGACGGGGTTGATTCCACAGCAACCTGACGAAGCTTGTGCAGCTTCAAGGAGGCAAACTGATCATCAGGGAGGTGAAAATCTTGCTGGATGTCCAGGCACTTCAGGCGGCTGATCAAAAAGGGAAGAGAAAGCTGAGCTGTCTGAGATGATGAAGAGGAGGAGGAGGAAGGCAGGAGAAGACAGTCTGATGAGCCTGCAGAAGACAAGTTAAAGAAGAAGAAATAAATTATGAAATTAAGAAAAGAAATAAACAAAAAACAATCATGTAAAAATAAAATGGTGCTTGTAATTAATGAGGACAGAGTGACTAAAACAGAGTTGAGTGCCTACATTTGACCAGGGCGGGTAGACACTCAACTCTCAGATGTTCAAAAGTTCAAAAACATTTCCAAATCCAGCTTGAACCACTGCAGACAGAGGTTACAGGTCAATATGGACAAAAATATAACATGATATAGTTTATCCTTTGTGTTTTTGGGAAACCTTTTATGGGGGAATCTTTCTGCCATAATTCGAGAACACATACTTTCAGACTGAAAGCAGGACTTCATGTCTTTCTTCTCAAAACTTGTAATGGTTGAACTCTCTTCTGCTCTCTTTCATATATTAACTGTGCTCTCTCAAGCTGTTCTCCTTGCACTCAAAACTTGTCTTTGCTTGGATCAAGTCTCCTCTTATCTTGATCAGTTGCCTGAGTACAGTTGCCTGCCAACCACTCAGCCAATAGAATGAAAGTGTTGTACTGGGCATGTTTGTTTCCTTCTGCCTGTGTGGCTACTATCGATTTTAGTAGCTTTCGAATGATGGCGGATAGATACCCTCATAATCACAGATTCCCGATTCAATACATTGTCTACTTCAGGTTTATTTCTGCAGAAGCTCTTTGGCAATATGTATAAACATTTTTTTTCTTTATTTAACCAGGTAAACCCCATTGAGATCTGGATCTCATTTTCAAGAGGGATCTGGGAATGATCCTTCCGCAGAAAAGAAAGTGCTGATATGGAGTTTCCAAAGAATACCACCAGTGTTCCACTTAGAAAGATAAATCAATATTAGAGGATTAATGTCTCATTTATTTAAGCAAAAATCTTAAAAATAAAAATGAGTGAGTAAAAATAAAAATATCAGTCTGCAGAACCAGAATGCTCCCAGGTCAGAAATGTGTGTGTACCCCAGGTCTACCTGTGTTCATCTGTTGGGGTCTGCTGATGCTGATAGAAAAGATTTTCTCCTGGTGTTCAGCAGGAAAATCAGCTGGAGTTCCACTGACTGAAGAAGGTTGGGCTGGACAGCTGTGGGTGGGAGTCTGGAATAACACTGGCTTGATGTTTGTCTCATCCACTTGATGGATCAACTGGGTAGACGGTGCAGGGCTGAGGGGGGGCTGCAGACATCCTGAGGTTAGGCTACATCCTTGTTTAAGAAGCTGTTGTCTCTGTGGTCTTCCTCTGCCTCTACCTCTCCTCGTCCCTTTGGGTGGACGGATGCTGGGGCCCTGAAGTGAAACAGGAGCTTCCGAAATGGCAGAGGTAGAAAAGTCACTGGAACTCTGGGAACAATCTTTGGAAGTGTTAACGTTGGATGGCTTCAGAGAGTCCACAGATGTTGACGGAGTTGTGGAAGTGGGCGAATCCGTCTGAGTGTGCCGGTCTGACCGCTGTACGCCCTGGTTTGTTCTCCTGCTGCGGCCTCGACTCCTGCGTCGTCTCCCAGTGCTCAGCTGGGACATTATGACAGCCTGCACATCTGGCTGGGTCTGGGATAGCGTCATGTGCCTAGTGGTTCTAATGTAATACTCTACAGGGAAAGGTAGTCCTTCCACTAATGTGCAGGAGCCTAGAAGACTCACAGCGTTCTCGTCTGCTGTGATCTGATCATTTTCCTTCTTTATTTCTACAGAGTCCTCATGTTTTTCAATTGCTGTCATCTGGGCTCCCTCATGGATGCCCTCTACACATGTCACTGGTTTTCTCGCTTGGCTTTGACTGACACTATCTTCTCCCATCTTATTATTTATGAAACTGTTATCTCTAGCATTTTGTCCTTTATTCTCTGTTGTTAAAGCAGGTCCACCGCATTTTCCATCAACTTCGGGACCAATTTTTGTCCTTGTTTCTTCCTGGGACCTTTGATTCCCGTTTTTTGTTTTGTCCCCGGTTTTGGTGTGTTCTTGCATACTCCAATGTGTGAGTAAAAGAGAGGGGGACTCAGATTCTGGATCAGAAAACAGCTCCTCACTTTCAATGAAGACATCTTCATCTTTGATCATCTGCTCCTCATCTCCAGGTCTTGTGTTTCCCATCAGCTCCTGCTGTCGCTGGCTGTTGTCTGAGCCTTCGGGAGTGTTGGCACTCCTCTTTTCCCAGCGTAAGCGGCTGCGTCTCGACCGCAGGCGCAAGGCCGGGCTGGGTCTGTGGCTGCCAACGATGTCACTACTGAGATCTGGGGTTTTGGAGGAAGTCCGATCTCCAGAAAGCGAGAATCGAATTCCTTGTTGTCTCCTGATTGTACTGGATTCTACTGCACCTGATGAACATCAGATTAGTACTCATCAGCTCATTTCTGTACAGGTTTAGCTGTAACACCAATGAAATTACAGAAATGTAAAATGAGTCAGACTTACCTTGACACGCTAGTGAACCTGGAGTTGCATCATTTGTGTTAAATGTGAATGAGGAGGAGGTAATGGAAGCGTTAGATGTAATCTCTGGATTGTTCTGGTCTTTGTCTTTCTGCAGAGAAATCTTGTTTTTCACATGCCTCTTCAACGCATCCACATATTCGGCACGCTGCATGAGAACCAACATGAGATAAGACAAAACATCCTCCATTTCCCTTGGTAAAGCAGCAATGTGGCTCATAGCTGACATTTTTGCCCCATCGCACTTGTATTAGAGTGCTTATCATCTGCCAAACAAACATTGTTTTTTTTTTCACTGCCATCTACTTGAAACTGGAGTTTGAGTTTACGGAAATGTTGGAGGCAGGTTCTCAAACTCCCTAGCTGTGAGTGTGTGTGTGGTTGTTTGTCCTGTCTGTCTCTGTGTTGCCCTGCTACAGAATGGCGACCTGTCCAGGGTGACCCTGCCTCTCGCCCGAAATATTCGCTGGAGATAGGCACAAACACTCCTCCTGACACCACTATGGACAAGGGTATCACATATCGATTGCAATATACATTGTTATTGATTAATACGGCTTCCATCGGCCAACTACGGCTCTGGAGGAGCTGCCGGGAGATACAGCACAGGTGGAAGAATATACCAACTATGAGCTATTCCTCTTTCTTTTTTTTTTATGGAAAAGTGGCAAGACGAAAGGCACTGCAAGAGAACAAACTATAAGAAATCTTATTTAAAATGAACCATTAGTAATGTAGGTGACACATTAATCATAGAAAATAATTTGACTCACCAGGTCAGACCAGAATTGAATGATTACATTTATACTTAAAATGTTATGTGTGGCAATCCACATCATCATGATCATGCCATCTCCATGGTGAAACCTGGCTGCAGCATACAAGATCTAAATAAGATAAACTGGACTTGGTGGTTGTATGAAACAAAATGTGATTTTTAAAAAATACTTTTGGAAGGCACTGCATTCTTGGAAAGAGTGATGTCACTTTCATATTTACTTCTGATTTTTGATACATATTTTTAAGTGTAGTAAAAGAATACGAGTCTCACCTTTAGTCTCTGTGCTGTCCTGAGATACTCCCTTTGTAAATGTGCCAGTTTTCTACGAAGCTGAGAAGAAATAAAAACAAATAAGTAATGAAGCTGAATATCATTTAACCCGAGTGTGAAGAGAATGTTGTTACCTTTTCTTTGTCATCACATTGCAGTGTGTTCCTCAGCTGCTCCTCACTGTGCAGAATATTATCAATATTGGCATCCATCCTGCTCAGCCAACAAAACCTGACAAACGCGTTACATATCACCAGCTAACGCTGATATGTCACGGTTTTATACGGCTATGAACATATTCTAATTATACTTATCTACGAAGTTAGGGTAAGTAATAAGAAGCTAACGGCAAAGTGTTACTTTCGTTACGAACATTAACTTTGACAACAAACAGCAACAATTAAATATGCCTCCAGACAAAGGCATATGCAAGTAAACTTGCCTATTATGCAAAGTCAAAGTTAAGAGATCAATTTGAACTCGTCCACTGGTTTGTTTATGAAAGTTTACGTCACTGTTCGATTAGCCAGGTATTGATTTACTTCTAATTTCCCGCCACACAGACAGGCATCAGGAATGGAGTCAAGATGACTCGATCGGCGTCATTTGCGTAAGACGTAAGCCCGGTGCCAATATACACAGCACACCTCTATATATGTTTAATTAAATCACAATACAAATACAAACAATACAAATAAAAAATAAGGGAAATAGGCTCATAAGTTCATTTCCTCATGTGAGATGAGATTTTTTTTTGCTCAACAAAAAACTAATTTTTTTAAAATTAGTTGTGTTGTGCAAGAAAAATGCATCAACAAACATATAATAAAAATTTTTTTAACTGCAACGAAAAAGAAATTAATAATCTGATATTTTTTTGGGTGATGCTATAACTTTTATAATGGGAGCAACAGCTCCCTCTAGCGTCCCCCTGTGAAACTGCAACGCCTTTCGCTGCCAAGGCCTCAACGTATCCCAGCATTGCCTTCTCACAGCTTGACATCAAACCTTTGAAACAGAATCTGACTTGCACTCCATTTTGTGCTGTAACTGTAACTGTGTCTGTCGTTCCATCTCATGGTTACATCTGTCCAATGCCACAGTTCATTGTTTTTTGTTGATTTATTTGACATTTTCATTTTGGAGAGTTGAACACAACATGCAACTTCAAATGTTTTTTAAATCAAGAATCAGGTGCACAAGTTTCAGTTTATTAGGATGATTCTTTGTATCACACAGAGTCAAAATTATACATATACGCATTCACATATATGTGTAAAAATGTGAAAAACAAATACATAAAGTTTGAAACATCTATAGTAATAATAGCTTATAATAGAGCTATCTAAAAGATGTTTAATTTTTTTCTCTCTGCCTTTTTGTTAAAATGTCAATTGTTGTGTTGTTTTACATTGTATGTATTTTTTCAGCAAATATAAACTGCTACAGTCATGATGACTAAAACTGAGCTACCTACAGTGGGTACGGAAAGTATTGCAGCCATTTACTAAAATCAAAAAAGTTCATATTATTTCTCATAAATTGCACTCAGCATCTTATCTTGACAGAAAAAAACAGAAATGAAAAATTTTTTGAAAATTTATTACAAAATAAAAACTGAAAATTCACATGGTTATAAGTATTCAAAATCTTTGCTGTGACGCTCATGCTGTCCATTTCCCCTGATCCTCCTTGAGAGGGTTCTCCCCCTTAATTAATGTGACTGGACTTTATTAGGACAGTCTCCCACCTTCCATCTCAAAAACAGTGATGATATAGTTGATGTACCCTCATTTTTAATACCAACAACATCACAACAATGCTGGCCAGGTTTACAAAATCTTTAGCAGAAAACAGATTAAAAACTTTAAAAAATTGAAGGCTCTTGCCTTCTTCCTATTTTATATTCCCATATGTTCCCTTGTTTAACCCTGCAAAACTGTGAATCTTTCTTGTTTACTATCTGAGCAGCAGTTTGTTTCCCTTTTTGTTCATAATCCCTGCTGCAATATCTGTTTTTTCTGTCATAAAACTTGTCATGTTTAACTTATTTCTTAAAATCTATCATGCCATAGTGTTTATAATTGTCTTTTAGCAAATGTTGCTGCATTTGCCACAATGACATGAAATGTCTTCATTAGTCACATCATTCTGGTTGTTTCATTTGTTTTTTGTTTTTTTTAATGAAATTTTATTAAGCCTTATTAATTTGGCACTGAAGATAATGACTAATTTTGTCAAATTTAACATCAATTCTGTCTCTAAGCACCCATAAAATGTTATACATAGGATAATATTGTGAAACCATCTACTACAGTAAGCATGATTTTGGACTGTGAAGTATTTAAAATTGGTTGTGTTTACGAGAAAGTCCTTAGTAAATCACATTGTTTTTTAGTTTGGTGAAATTGTTCTTCTCCTGAGACATCCACAGGTTAGATACTTCATGGCAGTCATACTGACATGCATCAGAGGCCCCATGTTAAAGAGCATGTGGTAGAAAGCATGAACAGACAGCCCTCCAGTTTCGTCGGCGTACTTCAGTGCCACTATTGGCGTATACAGTGGATTGGTCAGATTACGGAAACGGGGATGACTTGCTTCGATCACTTTCTTTGTGCACTGTAAAAAAGAAAATGTACATTTAAATGCTCAAACTGAGTGCTGATAAAGAGTGAAACATAAAGATACAATAATTTTACTTTAGCAATGTCATCAGGTGTTTGTCCAAGTGCCTCAAAAATGTCCACAGAAGAAGGAAGATAGACGTTCTTGAAGTAGTGCACAGTGTCAGGATCCGCTCCAGGATACTCCTTTTGTTTCACATCCTGAATCATCTTAGCTTCAAATTCTGTGTGCACTGGTCCTGGCTCGATCAGCGACAGGCTATGACAAATCAGGCATATCAAGAGATGGAGAAGATTTCAACCATGGAAGCAATTATGCAATTGTTGGTACAGTATATTCACTTAAAAACCAAAATCATCAACATTGTATGTTATTAAATACTGATAAGTTATGAAACTTTTGAGCAATGTTTTCCACTTTGAATGGAGTGTAAAACAGTAGCAAACAGATAATCTGTCTATCTGTTCGCCAGTGTGTCTGCTGTGGGAGTTATAGGTCCAGGAGAGAAACCCAGAAATTCCTCTCCCAGCACTTCACTCATTCTGCATAATCCATGGTTTATCCAAGTCAGGAGAGAAGATAGTCCTTCCATCGAGCTCTTGATCTGATTTCTTCAAAGAGGACAGACAGTGGATCTGTGCTTCCACTGATTATCTGATTCTCCTGACCATGTAGACGAAAATGTAAAGAGATCACCAACACACTCTCTGTGTGACAGGACTTCAGATTCTCTCATCTGCGTAGGATACATCCCAGATCCTTCCAGCAGATTTGTCCAAACTCTCCAACAGTGGAGCCAGATGAATCCTTTCAAGACATCCATTCCCCAAGATTTTGTTCTGGTCTGGACCCCATTGAAAGCAGCTAATCAGCAAACATCGCAAAGAAACAGAAATTAAACTATATTGAAAACTTTCAATAAAGATGTGGATGTAAAATATGTATTTATCCCAAGTTGCTTTAAAACTGTGATGTGTAGAAACAATATGTAAAGTGCTGAAGTGTATAGTGTGTGCAGCACTTTGGTGCAGTTTTATACCTGTTTTAAAGTGCTATATAAATAAATTTGACATTGACATTGACATATTGTTCACTGGCCATCAAACAACAAATACATGATGATATATGTTAAGAGAGAATTCTTGCAAGAGACCCAAAAGGCATAGTTGAAGAGAATTCGAATCATAGCTTATTAAATAGTAAATCCCTTCAATGATACTTACATGACGTTAAACTTCAAAAGTTGCACAGCCAAACTCTCACAAAAACCCTCCATGGCAAACTTAGAAGCAGCGTAGACGTCATTAAACACAACACCTGAAGAAAAACAGATATGATTTCAGTCTGTGGAGAGACTTAGTGGATAATATTAGCCTCTTAATCTGTTGATGCTTCTCTTTGTCCATTGCCCAAACCCCGTTCAAAGTAAAGCTGGTATTTGTTTTCTGTAGGGTTTAGCATCTCTACTTACCTTGTAGTCCCATCACGCTGCTTACTACAATGATGTGTCCTCCTCTTCTTTGCTTCATGTCCGGCATCACTTCCTTGATCATCCTGATGACTCCAAAGAAATTAGTCTCAAATACTTTCTTCATCTCTTCAATAGGAATGCTTTCTACTGGACCCACCAGGCCAATACCAGCATTGTTGACTGTTAAGGGTGAGGGAAACCAGAAGATAAAGAAGGTCCAACTGCATGAGTAACACATATTTTAGACATTTTAATGCTAAAAATGTTATATTTTACTTACTAAGGACATCTACGTGTCGATCTTTGATGCCGTTTATGCATTGTTTGACAGATTCATCACTGCAGACATCCAGCACAGCAAGAGAAAGAGTTTTCCCATACGCATCTCCAGCAGCCTCTACCAGCTTGTCCTTTCGTTTCAGGTCACGCATCGTGGCTATTACTGAAAATGGGGAAAAATATGTTCTTATAGGCCTATAGTTTTCAAGATCAAGCTGCTATGAAATAAAATAAGTAAGAAGTCCTTTTGTTTTGAGAAGCTTCTATAAATACCATCTGGATAATGTTTTTATGTACGATCCTTGATTCATTCATTCTTTTTGTCTGTAGACAGGTTTCCATTTGTGTTTGGGACAGGCTTTACATAGCACCTTCAGGGTATGGCTTTAAATAAACAATGAGTCGGCAGCTTGCCCAGGTTCAGCAACTGAGGTTAGACAGTCAGTGTCAAACTAAGTTCATCCATAAGTCGGTGGGTTTATTGAACATAGAGCTGCACATGCAAAAACACTTTACTCTGGTCCAGCATGAACATATTTATGGATATATATCAATGGTTCTTTACACATTTTTGGTGTAAAAAAAATCCTAATATTCCTTAATAACATAATAAACCTTTAAATATTTATCAATAATGTATCCAAGTTTCTGAACTGACTGGTCTTATTTTATGGAAATTAATTTGATTTAAAGAAAGAATCATATTTCAAGAGCTAAGATGGGATGGCAAAAAAAAAAAAATGTATTGAACACTGCAAAAACCTCTACAATAGGAGTCCACAGAGCAGGAAGCTCACATTAATTTTCATAATAACCTACAGCTGTCCTGCTTGTTTGATATGCAACAATCTGAGATGTAAACAATTTACTGCAGTCATTTTCAATAAATGAGAATATGCATTGCAATGAGGAGATTAAAAAGATTAAAAACACCTCTTGTAAAGAACAACTGTTAAGAAGGTAACATATTATATTGTAGTAATATAATACAATATATTAACAAAAATGTTGTTTTTTTTATTAAGCCTGGATTTCTGCATTACAAATGATTTTTTTAGTCCAGACTACTATTTCTAATCTTAAGTTGTTTTTAATATCTGAAAATCAAAAATGTTTATGATTAACACATTTGAAAACAATCAGTCTCTGTGAAATTAATCTACATAGCATGTTCTCCAGAACATGCGTTTTATTGTTGCTGTTCATTTTTTTCAAAAGTAAATAAATGTATGTTTTACAGTTTTTAGCTAACTGTGATGTGTACACATCACAGGGGGGTGATGTGTACACATTTCAAACATTTAAAAAAAAATTATTTTTTTTTAATCTGTATGTCAGAAGGCCTGTTTGTGCAATAATATTTAGCTAAATATAATAATTTATCAAAATAAACTGTTCTGGCTGCACTCAGTCTAATAATGACTCTCAGATTTTGCCTCCATGTTGTTCAGACTACGGGTCCATGGTGAGGAGGGGGCTGATTTCTGCTTCTAACTATCAAATTATGGCCAAGAATATTTTTCATAAACTGGTTTGTAAATAAAAAGGTAGGTCTGATGTTAGAAAAACTGTTTCCATTTAGACTATAAGAATTGTCCTCGCAATAGCAGTAAAATTTAATAACATTGTCATTCTTCATAAATGATGTTACAGGTTTAGATCTATGGTTTGTGTTACAATTAAACCATTTTTTGGGGCCCCTGAATGTCTGGAGGCCCCTGCATGGCCCCTACCTGCAGCTACTGAGTTTTCTTTGCCTTGATATTCCAATCTTATAATTCAGAGGTGCTAACATCAAACTATTTTAAGGCATTAACCCCTTTGAGCTTTTTGATCTATAAATCAGCAAGTTGTTCTAGAGGTTAAATAGATATTATTAGGCCTTAATTAGTAAAGTAGCAACAAATTTCTTTTATTAATAACTCATAATCAGCGACCTTCTTTCCTCCAGTATGTTTAATACTTACAGTCTCAAATCAACTCAACCTTCCGGGAGTGTCAGCAGAAATATCAACTTTATACCTGTTGGGCAAAATATACTATATTTGGTTGCATTGTCCCTGCATGATGGCAATGACATAGTTGGATCCAGATAGATTCTTGATTAATATGGGTAGTTGCTGTGTTGTTGTACGGTCTCTGCACGGCCCTGCCGATGCGTTTTGATTTATGGGTTATTATTCAGCCAAAACCTATTGGTCTACAAATTAAATGGTTTCTTAGCACTTCGAGTGCTGCTGTAATATTCACCAACAGCTAAACACACACATCTCTCACCTCTCCTAACCCATTTCTATCCCCAAAACACACACTTCACCAACAACCTCTGATCATTTCAGATTGTATGTATGGTTGTGCAAATGCAGTATAGAACATCACTGCTGCTAAACATAGCAAGTGTAACAAAAATAAATCTTAAGCTCCTGTGTGCCTAAGCAGCTCTGTTGAGGAAGCCACATCACACAGCGGTATTAGTTGTTATGCACTAGTGGTACAGACGTATTCAGCCTGTGATCCAGAGTCAAACTCTACAAGCCAAGGAATAATTAGTCAAAGCAGGGCTTTGCTGTCTCTTCTCAACTATTGCATGAGGTGAGACTATTCTAGAACAAAGGCAAAAATGACAGAGAGAGGTATAGTGAGCAGGGAGCTTTTCCCTATGCTGGTCACTTATTCAGATTTAGATAAACTATGAGTTTTATCAAAATATTCAACAGTTCAGGAAGTCAAGCAACATTTGTGATGACCAAACCCATGGCCACATTTTTAAGTCAGTAACTCTTCTTTTTTTTTTTTGCACAACCTTTTTCATTCAAACACAGTTTAGTTTCAAGAAAACATTTATTTGCATACATTTGTTCTATTTACTAGCATGCACATTTAGTTAATATGTGTATTTAAATCAACTTAAATCTTTTTTTTTTTTTTTGCTTAAGATTAACTTTAGTTTTCTTGCCTGTTACCTGCTAGGCAAAAGATGGGGCCAGCCCTCAGCAGGCTTAGAGGCTGATTGGACTGCACCACTGGTTCCTGCTGGCAGTATATCATGTGTGTGATTTCTTTGCTAGGTCAGTTATGTTTGTTTGTGCAGCAGGTTTGTTTGCATTTTTTGCCTGAGTTCAGTTTTATTTCTTTGACCTCTTTTAAACTAATAAAAAAAACACACCTATTTTTCTAATATTTTCTATGTCGCCTCCTGTTTGCAACTCAGTGCATCACACATTTATAGAATTATATATTTTTTACTAATTTTAAGAAAATTTAATTATTTCTAAGTTTAAGGTAATTGAAATATTTAATAGTTTGCAGTGAACATGAAATTTGATTCAACTTTTCTGTTAGTTTTAATGAAAATTTGATGACATTGGACTGAGAACATTACAGAACATTCAGGAGAGCAAAGAGGACCTATACAGAATACTTGAAGTGTTTTGGCCTTAGATACTTGGTTAGAACTTAAGACCTACTTAACAGCTTTATGAAACAGTTTTATATGAATTTGAATCATGACTTATCATGTCGTTCAAAGCTCTAATCTATTATGGGGATACATACATAACTATAGATGAAGTAATAGTTGTGGTGAATTTGAACTGAGTACATATTTAAAATAAGTGGCTTTTGTTCAGTCTGGGTCTGCAAGATTGTGTGTGGCTCATTTAACTGATTGGGACTCTTCACAGTGCAGGCAAACGTGAGACACTTGGTAAAATTTAAGACCTGAACAGAATCCAAGCCTCCAGGAAGCAATTGTTTCTCAACAGTAGAGAACTAGTCCTTCTGTACAAAGCAAAGTGTAGTACAAAGGACTGGAATTTACCAGGCTGGTTGACGTGAACTCTTCTGAAGTTTAAAACTTCATCTGTGACATGTGTAATGTGCCAGTTTGATGCTATGAAACTTACCAGAAATTATCTGCACTGTAAACAACTAACTTCCACTGTGAATGAAAAAAGAAGCTCAGAACCAAATGAGGCAGCTGTGAATGTTAATTCAATATTTGGAAGTGTGGTCAACAAGGACTCAATGGCTTTGTTCATCTCCTCTGCTGCCACCGCTAAAACCGTAACGCATTATAATTCTAAAACAATCCAGAAAATTGTCCTTGTCATTGTTCATGACTTTTTCTGTTCGCTGACCAGCCCAGTCAAAAATCGACCACAGACAATCTGACAGAAGGGGAGAAGTCCCAGACTGTCTGTGGATTTTAATCTCATAGCAAACTTAACTCCAATTATAGTGGAGTTAAATTTTTTGTTCCCACAAGGAATAAGATTAATACCCAGTCATTTATTTTTAACAAAGCTAGTAATTATTACATGTGTTTCAATGTTGACTTCATTTACCCTTTAATTTTAACCAGTAAATATTGCTGTGCATGAGATGCAATCCAGTTAAAACTGTTGTTAAATAAGTTAAATAAGCGTAACATTGCTAAAAACAAACCTGACACACATATTGACATATTACAGAGAGAAACAATTCAGGTCATCACATTTATAATAACATTTATAATAACACAGTATATGTGCCAGACTATTATATGACTACATGGGTTGTGGTTTCATTGATGTTTACATTTGCTCAATTATGAACTTGTATTAATCTCACTTGGACTCTGACTTTGTGGAATGGTGATGTCCAATCAGAGCTTTGCTTTTATTGTTCATGTATTGATAAATCAGATTTTGCTGTTTTTTTTTTTTTTTTGGACTGATTTAACAGAAACAGAAAGTTTATTAAGCATAGCTGCTACTATGTAACACCATGGTGGCCATTATGTGTCGTGGAGAAATAATAGGACAGCAAAGTGAAGGTGTAATTAATCCTATTTCTGCAATAATTTCTTACTTTTCTTGAATACTTCTAAACTATAACATATTTAAATGTTACAGCAATAGAATTTAAGTTGCCAATGATCTCATCTATCCATGTACCTACCGTGGTAGCGCTTCTTCTCATCCTTGGCCAGCATCACAGCCATTCGTAGGCCAATCCCAGAGGAGCAGCCAGTGATCAGGACCACTTTCTGTTCAGGACTCACCATGATGCCAGTCCTGCTCTTTTTGCAGACTAGAAGACAGACACCTGTGCAGAGTCAGTTCTAATCTGAAGTGAGAAGAAGAGCTGCAGTAAGAGGATAAAACACACAGAGAGGGAGTCACATGCACAGGGTCAAAATCTACAATCCCAGGATTATCTAAGGGGATGTCCCTTCATAACAGACAGTGTGGCAAATGTGTTTATTGGTGAAATACGGGGATGGTGCTTAAAGAAACGGGGGTGGGGAGCAAAGTTACAATTGTGTGGATGGCAGTGCCTTAGTTTTGCCGCCATCTAGTGCTCATTCCAGGAACAGGTCTTTCTAAAGTTCTGTGACAGATTTTTTTTGTGGAGAAATATACCATGGTAATTCTTCAATGAATCAGCAGACTTTGTTCTGTTGCGACACAAACAACCAACCACCATGCTTTTACTTTGGACTGAGATAACCTCCAAATACAAAACGCATACAGAGATGATAAAATACATAAATGAAAAAAAAAGCACACCTTTTCTCTCTTCCAAATGTGCACATGCACACACACACACACGCACGCACACACGCAAACACATACCCTTCTTGATTATGTCTGGCAGTCATGATTTCACAGCACTTAAAGCAGGAAAAAAAAAGCTGGAAAAATGCCTGGAATCTATGTTTCCTTCAGTCACAGTCTGCAGTGCACACCTGAAACTAAACCACTGTGATCCAAGAACATGAACTCCTAACAGTTATTATTCAGCACATTAACAGTATCTTTATTTTTGATCTTGTAATGACAAGACACTTGGCTAATAAGCCATGGGTCTCCAAATGTGAAACTACTTCTTTCTGCATAATGGCACAAAACACAAATTCATATCACAGCTACAATGAAAGCTACTTTTCACTTGTTGCTAAAAACATTAAATTGACAAAATATATCGCAAATTCTTTTTTAAAAAAATTATAGAACAAACTAATTCAAGATGATATACCACTGCTCAAAAAAATAAAGGGAACACTCAAATAACACACCCAAGATCCGAATGAATGAAATAAATATAAAAATAATTTCCACCTGTTGTCTATTGCATTTGCACAACAGCAGGTGATATTGATTGTCAATCAGTGTTGCTTTCTAAGTGGACAGTTTGATTTCACAGAAGTTTGATTTACTTGGAGTTATATTGTGTTGTTTGAGTGTTCCCTTTATTTAATTGAACTTATACATCTGATTCATACAAATATTTGCACAACACAAGCGTTGTGATGGTCAAAGCTGACACGTTTGTGCCTCTTTTTTCTCTGAACTTATCCTCCTCTACTTATCCAGAGAAGACCACTACAACTGCAGTGGTCTTCTCTGAACTTTCCATCTTGTGGACAGAGCAGCATAAGGCCCTGAAACAAGTGGTTATTCTTTCTACAGCTAACTGCATGCACATATCTTAGGAGCACTTCTCAGTTTTTGAAAAAAGTTTGGGTTGGGCAAAAGCAGACAGGTGGTGGAATTTGGAATCTGCAGCAGCATATTTTTATTAGTTGGGCAGCAACGCTGTCCTGTTCCAGCATGTTGCACTAGCTCATGGGCTTGTACACATAGTCAAAGACAAAAACAGTCAAAAAAAAAAAAAAAAAAAAAGAATGAAATCCAATGTGGAAAAAGCATCTGCTGCTTCAGGTCCTTTGCTGAACTGTGGTTTCCGAAACAGTCGAGTGGAAGACCATCCTTTTCAGAACTTTTTAGACAGGAAATCTTAAAGAAGTATAAAAAGATAATTCTGCTCTGTTATTATTATTATTTTTTGGCTCAATGACATTGCAAGAGACTGACTTAATTATGATAAAATATAGGTTTCTAAATTACATAAAATTTTATGTCAGAGTTTTGATGGAATTCAAATATCTTTTTTCATAAAACAAAAAGATCAGTGTTTGTTAATCATTTCAGAAAGATCAAACTCACATAGAAATATTTCAAAGCTTTATATCTTGTAATTTTTATGATCAGAGCTTACATAAAATAACAACCCAAAATTCAATTAGGACATTGTGAAAAAGCCACAAATTAAGATGTCTACACATGCATTTTTAATTGACAGTAATCTTACCCCATTCATAACTTCTTGTGTTTCCATAGTAACTAAAACAAACAAGACCCGAACAGGTTTTGACATCATGTTGATGAGAAGCTCTATGTTCTCACTGATGTCACAAATGTTCATAAAGATACAAGAATTCAAGAATTCTCAGTTTGCTTCTCAACTTGGTTGGAGGCAGATCGATTCCTGAGAGACGACTTCAAACTGATTCTACAAACCATTTTAGCTGAACATCAAGTCAAGAGGATTTTGATATTTATGGATCCTTGGATTTCTTATTTTGAAGGGAGTTATAAAGTTGCTAGGATAAAACATAAGAGGCATAAGTGGTTTAGTAGAGAACTCTGAGGACGAGAGATCAAAATACTTTGCTTTTGACACTGAAGACAAAAAGAACATGGAAGATTCCTCTAAGGATGAGAAAGATACTGGCAAAACTACAAATGGATTTGACAGTAAAGGCATCAGACTTTGTTCCTCATGACCAAATGAACCTGAATGTTTGTTTCTCACAGGTTGGGGAGTTACCTTTACAATAACTGCTAACTCTTTACCAACAAAGATATTACAAAAATGTGTATTGTTGTTGGGAAGACATAATGATGGACCTGGATGTGAAACCAAACTGTGACAAATTTTTAGGAAATTTCTGAGGATTCATCATGAGAAGAATCCTCTTCAGCAGAAGAAAACTCACAAGATGAAATTCAAAATAACACAGATGATTTCAACAGTGTGGATGTTAATCTTGTGCCAAACATGTACTTTTGCAAATTTTCCAACTCATTCTTCAACTGTTGCATGAATGCCACAATACGTAGCATCATGAACTTGAATATTACCAGAAGGTCTGTGGCTCAGTATCTGGACTTTTTACAGAGACGCCATTGTTTGCAAGGTTTTTCTTTACAGCAATGTATCATCCAGGAAGATATTTTCTCTAGATGAAGTCTTTGCAGTTCAGAATGAAATAATTGAAACACTGAAGATGAAGGATGTAGTACATCAGGACAAGCCAGGAGTCTTTTTGTTTTATATGTTACACTATCTGACCCAATATGTCATTAACACAGACTGTGAGCTGTACACAGCTAACTATTGTGATCAATGTCAGAAGTCTTCATGTGTTATTTGTAACCTTGGTCCTGTCATTCACCTCCCAAAGGAACAACAAGAGGACACTACAACTACTCTAAGTTGTTATATGTGTGGAAAATGTTGTGACACCTGCAACTCCAACATAAAGACAGAATACTTTTTCAAAGACACTGATATGATGACTCTGATACTCCCAGGGTCAGAGAGTACAGATGATTTAGAATATTCTGTGATTCCTGACCCAGTGCTTGAAATTCCTGTAAAAAACTGGAACTCAGTCATTTGCTGGTGACAAACAACAACTTCTGACACTGTCAGACTGTATCAGTTTGCTTCTCAACTTGGTTGGAGGCAGATCGATTCCTGAGAGACGACTTCAAACTGATTTTACAAACCATTTTAACTGAACATCAAGTCAAGAGGATTTTGATATTCACGGGACCTTGGATTTCTTATTACGAAGGGAGTTAAAAAGTTGTTAGGATATAACATGGACAACTGATGTTTAAGGCTGAAGATGACCGGGTATCACTTTCAAATATGGACCATGAAGCTGACATTTGCCATAATGGGTACATGTACATGGGAGAAGTTCACAGAGGCTACGGAGAATGACTTGGGCAGAGTACTTCAAAAACCTTCTCTATCCCATCATCACATCTTCTACTGAGGAAGCAGAGCCTGGAGACTTTGGATGAGGCTCTGCTGAGTTGACCATAGTTAGGGATGCATAGAAGGAGTGGTCATACTTTTTGCCTCCCATCTTGGTGCCTGTGTGTTGGGGTTCACCCTTCACTTCCTTGTGGGTGGACGGGTTTTGGCTGTTTGTCGTATTTATGTGACAACAGCAGCTCATATTGTCCACCATTTTGAAGTCGGTGGAGGAGTGCGGCCTGAAAGGTACAAATGAAACCAGTTGAGATGTTTATTTACAATCCCAAGAAAGGATAATCTGAAATTAATGGAAGAGTTGAGATAGTGTGAAAATTACTGAGGTTATTTGGATCTAAATCTGGTTTCTTAAGTATTGGGGTTATAACAGCTGTTTTGAGGGCCAGGGGAACAACACCAGCAGTTAAGGAAGAATGTTTAATGTCTGCGATGAAAGGAGAGAGTGGAGTCGATAGCTTTAACAAGGACAGTTAGAAGAGGATCTAATTGACAGACTGAGGATTTTGATTTCTGAATTAATTTGGTGACATCATTGACTGAGGGGAGGGTGAAAATGAATTAGTAGTGGAGCCTGGAATTGGAATATTTTCAAGTAGAGAGAAGAGGACTTTGGAGTTATCCTTGTTTGAGCTAATTAAACTGGAATAATAGCTCTATCAATCAGCATTGATTTGGCTGTTGAAATGTAATCTTTATATTTAATCTTTATATTAAAGAAAGTGATCAGAGTACATATCTCTGTGTACATAGTATCTCTGAGTACAGTGAGACCAGTTTTTCCATACAGTCTTTCAAGTTGACATCCTTTGGGTTTCAACTATCTGGAAGTAAACCAAGGTGCAGTAGGCAATAAGAGAGATCTGGTTTTAAGTGGAGCAAGATTGTTCAGGGGGCTATGAAGGTTTTTGTTGCTGTGAGAGCAGTTCATCTGGAATAGAAAGCCAGTTAACATTGAGTAGATTGTAGGTACAAAAAGATAAATTGTCCAAGTCAATGTCCTTAATATCATGGAAGGTTATATTACATGGGAGGAGTTAGAAAGTGAATCATTAACTCTGAATGATAGAAGCATGCAATCTGAATAGGAGATGGAATCAACATTACAATTAACTTGTGTAGCTTCTGAGCAACAAATTAAATCCAAGATATGTCCTTTGATATACTTTGGAAAATTAGTATATTGCTGGAGTCCAAAACTATCCAAGCAGGATATGAAGTCTTTGGAAGATGAGTATTATCATTATCCACATGAATGTGAAAATCCCCCAG